TTCCTACACACTCTTCATAAACGCCATTAGCTGACCACCACCCCGTGAGAGGCTTCACCACAAGTGTGCTCCCCATCAGGTGGTTTTCAACGCTCTGGCTTTATGAGCTCTTGACCCTCACGTCAATCCCGCCCTCCCATATACGTAGCCCCACACTCCCCGCTGGTGGGATATTCCCTCAGCTACCCCTTTAGCTCCTCAAACAGGGGATGCATCTGCTGGTCAGTAAGTGGGATGCTGTGAAATCGTTTCCTAACCGTCCCTGAGATTGCCTGGCACAATTGAAGCAATCAGTAGTTGCTTTTCATTTTTATTTTCTTGGTTGCAGACACCTATGAAAATGGAAACTATTTCTTGGCAAACTTCGTAGCAGCTCAGGTAAGACTCTTTTACTGAATGTGATAAATCCTTTCCCAGTCAGCTACTGATGGTTGTTGCTAGGTGCCTTTGAGTTGATTCAGACGGACAGTGACTCCATGGGACGGAGTGTGACTGCCCCATGGGGCTTCCATGGCTGAATCTTTGTGGGAGCAGATCAGTAGGCCTTTCTTCCACAGAGCTGCTGGGTGGGTTTGAACCTCCAACCTTTCGGTTAACAGTCAAATGTTTAACTGTTAACCTGTTAACCACCAGGGCTCCTTAGGGACAGATTAGCCGTTATCAATTAACGGTATAAATAGGTTGCTGTTAGGTGCCTTCGAGTTGGTTACAACTCACAGCAACCCAATGTACAATAGAAAACAAAAGAAAACCTGCCTGGCCCTGAAGGATCCTCACAACTCTTGCCGTGTTTGAGCCCATAATTGAAGCCCAGATCCTCCATTCCTCATTTGTAAAATAGGGGGTAACAGCCCCTTCTTTTCAAATCACCATAAGAATTAGCAATGATGTAGATAAAGTGACTTTTATTGGTTCCCCAGGGCTCCTCTAATTGCTACATTGGTAGAGGCAAGCATTGATTTCAGTGAGGGTGATGTAAAATAAATGAACAAACAAAATAAAGTCAGAAGTAGTCTGTTAACAGATGGATTATGTTTTTTTCTCTCTTTAAAAATCTTTTCTAGGATGTCTTGCAGATCCAGACCATACACAATAACTATTTGAGTGATTTGACTCCACTGAAGGTTGGCTACATTAGAGTCTGGGGGATGAGCTCTCAGTATGTGAGAGAAGTCAGGGTCACCCATAACAACCAGCAATTCACAGAGATGAACTTCACGAGTGACCCTCACAATCAGGTAAGTCTCCGGGGCTGGCATCAAGTCATAAAGATGCTTGATTCTCCTGCAAAATGTGCCATTTTGTGATCCTTGTCATTTTCACTTATATCAGAAATGTGAGAGGTAGGTGCGATAGATATGTTCCCCAAAATCAGAGTGGTGAGTTACTAGTATAAAATGCACACCATTTGTGGTCCTCCACTTGTGATGCAGAGATCACTAATCCGTGTTCTGATGAAGTCTTCTGA